AAAGCTGCCTTATGCCTACAGGCATCCAATTAGGAAAAATAAAAAAAATGGAATAAAGCAACAGCCTGTTTTTGTGCACCACATGTAATTGTTCTTTTTAATAATAAATTGTATCTTTCATTATATACTTTCTGCAGAATAAAACTAATATGTGTAAAATATTTATTTTGCTTCTTTGGAGTCAGATGTGTTGAAAATATGGTTATTATGTATCCTGGAAATATAATGTAAAATGTATCCTGAATACAAACTGCATAATAATTATTTTCTTTAAACCATTTTTTTTTTTCTAATTTTAAAACATTTACAGCATTAAAGGTTTTGTATGAATAATTCCATTGGTGTCTTTTTTGGCTACATTTACATTATTTTACAATAATATTTCTTGCCATTGACAACAGATTAAATTAGAGAGAATACACGCTATGTCAGTGGTTCCCAAACTATGTCGCTGCACCCTGGGCACCATGATAGGTACACAGGGGTACCGCGGAATGTTTCCCCGGTGCTTTGATTATAACACCTGGAAACATTACTCCTTAACAGTTGCCCAGTTGGATGCCGTGGTCCTCTAAAACCGCAACTTGGCACCTGTAATGTCGGCCAGCTGTGAGGAAGGGACACCCTATCAAATCCTCCCAGCATCATGCTGAGAAACAGTGCAGAAGGGAGAGGAGGCAGCTGCAACATGAGGGGAGAGGAGCATGAAAAGCTCCAGACCCCTCATTCCCACCAGCAGCAGCAGGACCAAGACTCCAAGCTACCCTGGACACACAAGGTGAGGGTGGCTGGAGATATTAAAAATTAAACAAATGTACATCCGCATTTAAAATTGAACATTACATTCAAACACACCCCTGCAATCAATCACAAACATTACATACAAACACACCCCTATATTAAAACACTAAAACTATTTACAAGCACCGCTTCAAACACCAACACCATACATTACACTATAATGCCAGTAAATGCTGCAGCGTTCTACAGATATACAACCTAGAAATTTTCAATTTTAACTTGGGGTGCCTTCGAAAAAAAATTCAATATTAAGGGAGTCTTGAACCTAAAAGATTTGGGAACCACTGCGCTGAGTCGATTGATTATAGAAAATGTGCTCAGTTTTAAAAAGCATATCTTAACAATTTTTTTTTATTTTTTTTAAACAGAACATCTACAGCTAAAATAAAAAATATTTCAATCTAATATACAATATTCTGTGAGATTAGTATGGGCTGTTGCAAACGCCAATGTACTTTTATTGCCTTGCTGGGTTTCTGTATTGATAAATACTGTATCTTTCAAAGACAGCTGAATAATTAAGTGTTTGTGAAATCAAGATAACTGTCTATTCCTATTTAATGATAGAGTTAAAGAAAGAATTTTACGCAGGTTACATTAAAGATTGGATACTTGATAAATACAATTCAATAGGTATGGTAAGACAGATGAAAGTAATTAAAAAAAAAGGCACATGTAATTACATTAACAATAAACTTTTAAATGGGAGAGAACACTATCCAGCAATTTCTAGTATAAACATGTATCCTGTTATATTTAACCATATTTTGTCAAGGCGTATGCACATAACTGATTTTCCATGCTTTGCATTAGCATGCAAAATGGACGTATTAACCACATCAACTAAACCTTCCCAGAATATTCACAATTCATAAAACGTGAGAATAATAAGTGGAAAAATAATGCAGGATAAACAGATTAGTTAAATAATAAAATAAACTATTTATTGAAATGAATACTGTGTATTAAATTAATAAAACAAATAAAACAAATCAGTAAAATCCCTTAACTAAAACATGTGCACATGCTAAATCATACATTGACAAGTCATAAAATAACAGTATACAAAATAACAATGAAAATCAATACAATGAAAAGTCTCTTTATAATCCAGGTAAATAAAAAATAAATCGTTTTTAATACCCACTTGTTGCAGTGTAAAGACACTTAAAGTAATCCTCCTTCCAGTGATAGGACCTGCAGGGAATCTGGTCTTTAGTCTGCTTTGTTCTAGCTTCTGAAGGTCTGTGGAATTGAGTTGTTTCAGGTCTTGTGAAATAACTGCTGTTAGTGGGATTTCAGCTTGTGACTGATCCTTCTGCCACCAAACACGTTTTGACTGTTGGGCTTTATCAATAGCAGCATGCTAAAGATATTGTGGTTTATCAGTGTGTGTGTGTGTGTGTATATATATCCAACATGGGCTTGACACTCACTTTCCTCTCCTGTTCTTGCCTCGGTGCTATTTTATGCCCCAATACTACGTTCCAGAGAAATGCACTCAGAGGGCTTGTAGTCTTGTGCAATATATTTTTTTATTTGTGCAACGTTACAGTCAACGTTTCAGTCCAACTTGGACTTTTTTCAAGACATAATTTCAGTCTGAATTGGACTTTTTTTTAAAGATATAATTATTCACTTCACCTGCAAGTGGTTTTAATATTGTGCTTTATCAGTTTGTGTGTGTGTATATATATAAATATATATATTTAGCCGTATTAGCCAATTCCATTTTGTTGTATAATTTTGTATTATTTTCTACTAAAGATAATTGACTAAATGTGGAGTCGGGCTTCTTGGCACAATACAGAAGATTTATAAGAGTACTTTACTCCTTTTCATAGAGCTGGTATATCCTTTTCACACTACAACGTTATCAATGTATGGGAATATATGCAACACACAGGCCTGTATATTAGTTTATTCAAGTTATCTCTCTCCCCACCCCCACCTAACAAGATATTTATATAATTAACTCTTGTTTCTTCATCCAATACTAAAATCACAGGACAGATTTATGACATCCTTGAATATTTTTTTAGTGTTCTTACCCCTGCATTAGAGCTAGTGTAGCGTGCTTGCTTCACAGTGGTCAAAACTGCTTTAGATATTAATAACAGTGACATACTGAATACTGAAATGTAAGATGCCCTGCTTTTTGTCTGAAATAATTTACGTAGTATATGAAATCACATGCCCATGCCCATGCGGACTACACTACATTGGAAAAACGGAGTTAACCTTAAGAGATCGCATAAGAGGGCACCGATCAGTTATCAACACAGCGTACCCTGATGGTTCCACAGAGAAACAAGTTGCAAAACGTTTTTTACAGATGGGACATTCATTGACCATGTTAAAGTTTATTGGCATTGACACAATACCACCCTGTGCAAAAGAGGCAATAGAGCTTGTCTGCTCTTACAGCAGGACACCTTTTGGATAAAAACTCTCAACACTATATCGCCACATGGACGCGATGTATACATCTTGTTTTGCCTACACATTAATTATGATGATTCAATGTTAATTATTATTTTCAATAATTTTAAGTTATTTAATTTAATGTATTACATTATCTAAACTGGTCCTCATTGGTGACTGATAGTGATGTCGCGAACCGTTCGCGAACTTGCCGCGAACAGTTCGTGGCGAACTCCGGTCAGCTGACACATCCCTGCCAATCTCCGGCAGACCCTCCCTCCCAGACCCTCCTACTTCCTGGACAGCATCCATGTTGAAGGCAGCTTCAGCATGGTTGCTGTCCAGGAGGTGGGAGGGTCTGGGAGGGAGGGTCTACCGGAGATTGGCAGGGATGTGTCAGCTGACCGGAGTTCGCCTCGAACGGTTCGTGGCGAACCGTTCGCGGCAAGTTCGCGAACGGTTCGCGACATCACTAGTGACCGATTATAGAGATATTAAAAAGGTAGGTTAGCGCTAATAATACAATAGATAGGCAGCGACCTTACAGAGGGTAACCCTCTAACCCTCTATGTTTAAAATGTACAACAAGAAGAAAGAAAGGCTGCGCCAAAAAGAGAATAATAAAAATACTAAAAATGTAAAAATACAAGAAAGAATAAAAATAAATAGTCCCAATGAAATATCAGAGGTTAAATTTACTTAGTCACTGTATTCGCTGGTGGAGTGTCTTCTATGTTTCTAGTAGTTCAAATCGTCTCGTGATATGGAAGACACAAGAAGAGAGGACCAATCGTGCAGAGTGTATAAGGTGAATGTTAAATAAATTAAAATGTAAATATTACACTCACATTTGGATGAGCTATGGCAAGCTCAGGTATAACAGGCATACGGCGGAATAATCCCCTCTTATAGGATATGTAGATGCTTGTCCTCCAGAAGGTGACGATGTCCAACTCTCAGGAGAAGAGGAGAATAAAAACAGCAAATAGTGCTCTCTGATGATATGATGTAATAGTTGATAAAAATAAAATAAAATATACTCACAAATGGAGTGCAGGCGTCACTGCATTGTGGTAATAGCATTGGTGGTATAATCCTCACCTCAGGATAGGTTTTGGAAAATAAATAAAATGCCAGGAAGAATAAAAATAAAATAGTGTGTAAAAAGATAATAGCGCAGAAATCTAGCCAAAAATCATTTATTATATAAAATAATAATATAATGTTATAGTTATATAGGATTTACAGATGTGTAATACATGTGTTTCCTAGTCGGCTAGCAAGGATTTATTCTTCTCTTTTTAGCTATCTATAGCCAATGACCCGGTATTCATAGAACTCATCTCTGTGTAATGCAGTTATTAAGAAATATATTGGGTAGATAACCATACTAAGCTACATTTTAAAATGGAGACATTTAATTTTACTATCTATTTTTATATCAAGATTTATTATCCAGTCCCTCCAAGATATCTTCTTCCCTTTAAATAAGTCTAGCCTCCCCATATCATAGTAGCCTTTTGTTCATTTTTATAATGGAATAAAGGTAACTTCACTTTATTTCATGGATTATTTCTATTTCTAGGAATGTCTTTTTCACTTTTCACACATACAGCTATCCGGGACTATTTTATAACAATTGTGTTGTTGATCGGTCCCATATACGGGGGCACTGTTTTGGGAGGGAAAAAGACAGTTACTCACTGTAACGGATCGCCTGGCACCCCGACTCGGTACCTCCGTTGAAGGATGCTCCTAGCGCTTCCTGAGGACTCCAAGCACTCTGGCAGACACCACAATCACCGAACCGGAGAAACAAATAAATTCTCCCAAGCATATGAATGCTGTAGACAGTTGAATAGGAACCATACGAATAGGTTTACTCTCCTAGCAGTCAAACTGGAACAGCATACAATAAATCCTTTCCCCAATAATGAGACAACACTTCACTTTGAGGGTTAAAACAGGAATTCCCTGTACTGTCACATACAGTCTCTTTTATTCCCAATCCACAAACATAGTACAGCCCACAGGGCGTTACAAAACAACCAATCAATCCGTACAATACACCCAGACACTCCCACACAAAATCCTCCCCTCTGCCTGTGATATGATTACTGAACACAATGGGTAATCTCATTATCACCGGCAGAGGAATACAGTTTTTACACAATATTTATAACTTCTAAAATATACATGTCACAAACATAAAACATACATTTTCATAATCAATCCATTCAGGGGAACAACATATTAAAAAATGGCACGAATCAGACCAGGGGTTCAAAAGTTAAGGGAAAGTCCTTTGTGACTAAATGAAGCATGGTTTTTCTGCCCAAAACCAGTTCCACAGAGTCTTCTATAGTGGAGATAATTGAGAAGTAATTCAATTATCTCCAAGGACAGAGGCAAAACTCCATTAGCCACATGGCAGACAAAGGACAATAAAAGACATAAAAATACAATAAAATATACAAGGTTACATTTATTACATAAAATACAGACATTCTACCTATCCCCAGATAGCTTAGATCTGAGCGCACATTATTACCGTATGGCGCCCAGATCACATACATACAGTTCAATTGCCATGGAGCCAAAGTCTTTCATACAGTCTTTCAGTATGCTGCTGGGCTCCATGGCATAGCTATCTGGGGTAGCATGGCTTTAACAGTCCGCAGAAAGGCACAAACCAGCCTTTCTGCAGGGAAAAAGAACAGGGGCCATAGTCTAAAGGCAAGAGGCGGGCAAGCAGCCCCCTCCAAGGACACGTGGCGAGGTTGGTTTCGCCACACTCACTTCCTGCAGGCACTTGGGTTCCAGGTTTTATCTTTCATGGTTATGGGATAAACACAGATGGAGAACGTAAATTAAGTAATCGCATGATTTGGTTTATAAGTGATATTGCAATGATTGTAATTTGTCTTGAGATAGGACCACGAGTGGGTCCGATTTGTTGATGCTGCACAATTAAAAACTTTTTTACTTTTTCATAACAAAGTCCTGCGAGTCTCCAATATTTAAAGAATGTATTATAGTTCCACTGTGGAGCACCGAGGCTATATTATCTAAAGATTTTCGTGGTTCTCAGAACTGAAAACTGAAAACAGTTGGTGCCTTCTAACTTCTATTTTACAAATATATAGATAGCTAGATAGATAGATATATAGATAGATATAGATAGATATAAATATTGAAAGAAATACCGGCACTCCAGGATTTGATAAAAAAAAGATAAGTTCTTCTTTATTCTTACAGTTCCAAACGGTCAACATTTCAGCTCTTGTACAAAACTTTCATCAGGTCCTGATGAAAACTCTGTACAAGAGCTGAAACATTGACCTGATGAAAGCTCTGTACAAGAGCTGAAACGTTGACCGTTTGGAACAGTAAGAATAAAGAAGAACTTATCTTTTTTTACCAAATCCTGGAGTGCCGGTATTTCTTTCAATATTTATACTTTATGTGACCAGAGCACCAGGTATTTATTTTGTTAAAGTTGTAGTACAGGAGCTTTGGATTTATTTATATATATATATATATATATATATATACACACAAAAATAAATCTTGGCATTCACCTTTTTATATATTAAAATGATAAATCTTGCCTTGGTGCTCCTTTAGCATAATTATATAAACCAAATGGGGATAATGCCGACTGCATAATAACCGGAATAATGCTAAAAACAATGGAGGATAGGAAACAAAATACCTACATAATTTGTAGTTTATAAAGCCCAGACTACATATGACATACATGCAAAAAATCCAAGAAGGAATATACAAGGAAGAATATAAGAGCTCTGAGGTGCAAACATCACAGTGGAAAACGTGAAGTGTTAGAAATGTGTGACAGAGTGAAAAAAGTGACATACTAATGCTAATACAGAGTTCAAGATTCAATCCAACCAGGATAAACAGCAAATCCAAATATAGTAATAATACCACTCTAATAATAAGCAATAATAATTAAGCAATAATAATTACTCTACTCTTTTGTTGTAGACAACAACATTGCTAGGCATAAAATAAAAAACAATTAAGAAGTCTACTATGCTAGAGTAATTATAAGATACAGCACATTAAATAGCTAAATGATATACCATGGGTGGATTAATTCCACATGGTTTATTCCTCAGGATGGATTTAAACAACAAATTATTACACCAAAAATAATGTTAAATGGGAACAAATACTAAATGGGAAAAATAATTTATATACAGGAGCTAGAGTATAATAAAGATAAGTTTACAATATCTATATTACCATTCATAAAGATACAAGTTGTACTATAAAAACATAGAGTATACGATTTGCTCATTCAAATCTCTGGGTACCACTGTATTGAGACGGTGGATCCAGTAGGCTTCCCTTTGAAGCAGTAATCCCAACCTATCACCCCTTCACGGGATAAAGAGGGAATATGGTCTATCACAATGAACCGGACAGTAGGTAGTCTATGTGATAATGCTAGGAAGTGCTTAGCAACCGGTTTATCGGTCTTCTGGTCTCTGAAAGCTGTTGTGATGACTGACCTCTGTTCTCTCATACGATCCCATAGAGTTAAATCGGTCTTTCCTACATAGGACAGTCCACAGGGACAGGTTATTAAATATATGACGTGGTCCATTGTGCGGGTAATATATTGTTTGATCGGAATTCTTTTGCCACTATGGGGATGGACGAAGGAATTTCCAGGGTTCATGTGGCTACATGTAACACAGCCACTACATTTGTAACATCCTTTCTTTTTTGTGTTATAGGTTTCTTATAACACTGTACAGGGTCACTGCGAACAAAAATGTCTCTCCGATTCTTATTTCTTTTATTACTGATAATCGGTCTTCTTTGAAATGTAGGTGGTACAAAGACACTTTTATGGGTCGAAACCTCGATTGAGACAAATTTGATGTGATTCACAAAAAAATCGTTTGAAGATAAAAAGACCTTTTGAGTGCACCTTATCCCCATTTGGTTTATTTATATATATATATATATATATATATATATATATATATATATATATATGCACACACACACACACACACACACACACACACACAGGATCCAACAAATTGAAAATATTGATACACAGTAAGGAAAATGCAATAATCCAATTCAGTGTAATGGACAGGGAAAGGAATATAAAGAGTTTATCTCCTCATATAGGTGTTGTGTTCTCAAAGAACTCTTCATCAAACACAAAACAGAATAGTTCATTTGCATCTCTATAACATTAAAGGGACACCGTAGGCACTGTATCTGCTTCATCTCATTAAACTGGTTAAAGTGTCTGGAGTCCTCTGGTCCCATCATTTCTATCAGCATTAAACAGTTTTTTAAGTTTTAATGTTTTAATGCTAAACAAGAGTCCCCGGCAATCCATCCCCTCTGTGCTGCTTTGGCTAATAAGGAAGTATTAGCCTGAGCAGCAATGGGCAGCTGTGATTGGCTGAGAGTGTCAGCTGACTACTTTTAGTCTGTCAGAGTTCCAACTGACGGTATGAATGGGTATGACAACAAGGAAGTGTGTAATCTCTGCCTTAGCTACACATACTGAAGGGGCCGGACTGTGGGTGGCCAGGGACTCTTATTTTGTGGCATACTGCACAAACATGGTGCAACGCTGAATGGAGGGACAGTGCCAGGGTACTCCAGGCACTATAACCAATTCAAAGAGATGAAATGCTTATAGTGACTACAGTGTCCCTTTAATCATAAGCTAAAGCACTTTAGCTTCCTGAAAAGTGTTATGTGTCACGAATGTGTCCTCTTTTTTTTGCAAAAAGAGCAGATTTTGATAGAAAATGATAAATCTATAAATTAACCTGGTTACACCATCCTTGCTTTCAACCAGACAGCAGATCCTGTTACTTCCTGGTTTGGGTAGCTCAACGGAGCTAAACTCAAGAGGCAGCAATTACCCAGAGAACCTGCCTTGCAAACAGTTCTAGTTGAGCTGCATTGCCATGTCTGTGATTGGACAGCCACAGAAAGTCTGTAAAGGGAACATACAAGTGAACTATAGGTTTTGTAAGTTGTTTTTAGATATAAACCAATGGAAAATGCATAATTAAATTTGTGCAAGTTTTCATTTGGGGTATATCTACTAAACAGTGATTTTTATTTATTTTGTATTTGGGCAGTTGCATGTCCCTTTAAATAAGGACGAAATAATGCAAGAAACTGATGACAATCAATCGATAAGGTAAAAAGGTTTTCAAAAATAGTTAAAAGTCCCCCATAAATATGGATGTACAGTTTATTAAACATTTACAATTGTAATACTAAACCCGTATAGATATAATTTATCTAACAAAAAGTACATAAGTACATTAACAGAAATACTGCCACAAAGAATTATTTAAATGCACTTTACTTGCATAACATAAACAGTCAGACTTATTATAATGGCAGAGAACAGATTGTTGCACAAAGCTTCAAACACTGTGTATATATAACAGCTCGACTGCAAATATGACAAAATATTTCAAATTGATGTACCAGTCACAAAATAGACACACTCAGCTTCTAAAATAAAAAATAAAAAATGAATAAACAATACAAGGAATGGAATATTATGCATAGAAGTAAAACATTACACATTTCATGTTGAAGCTGCAAGATCACCAGATATGTAAATGTAAAAAATAGAATATCTCACACTTGCACAATAACATGGAGTTCTTCTTTTGTTGGACATTTCGGTTTTCTATGTTGCTTTATCTTTAAAAAGTGCCTTGCACGGTATGTTTAAAAGGATTATATGAACTAACAGACACCTCCTTTATATTTTATATGCATTACTGCAATTTGGTTATTTTTGAAATTTTAAAAGGTTATATCCATACTTAAAGGACTTTTTGGGGAAATATTTTGGGGACTGAAGAAAAGTAGGTATTTGACGATTTTTCTTTTCTTTACAAGTAATAGATTTATTGGTCCCTCTCTCTAGCATAGTTTTTTTTTTTTTTTTTATTAGGATGATGACTAGGGGCTTGGAAATCTTTACAACTTGTGTTGGTGGACATGATACTGCAGTGGGTGGAGAATTGCATATCAACTCCCTTCTATATGCACTTATAGTTCCCATTCACCGCCAATCATTAAGGGCAATAGTTCCCCAATTTGTTTTAACCCCAACTTTCTGAATCTGGTTTGGACAAAAGGGAAAACTTTGTTCCCCATTTAACATTTACTTCATTATCCACAATTTGCTTTCTTAATGTAATAGCCCCAATCCACTAGTCATGGGTGGGAACATGGGAGGTGGACAGATCACTTGATCATTTGAAGCTCCCACCTGATGTCCATAGGTGAGGCACAGAAGAGACCCCTATGTGTTAATAGTGGCTGAAGCAATATCTACCCAGTCACTAGTTTTTTTTTATTCAAGTGATCAGCCACTGACTACTTGCTGTTTAGTAGACACACCCACACTCATGGCATACAGGTGTGGACAGTTGGGAGGTTGTTGGGAATAAAATCAGCCCAGGCCCTTTGTGGATGATGGATATTTGCCAACTCATACAGAGCTCTGGAAATTGGAAATGAATAGCAGAGACATGTTCGATAACCAATTCAAATTGTATTCATACATCAGTTATATTTATACCCCATTTTCATAGCAGGATGGGAGGGGGAAAAATGAGCATATGGGCGTGACAATGACATTGTTTTTCACAAGTTATAAACAGCTGTTTTTAGTTATAATTCAATGTTACATAATGTATGCATATTGGATAAAACCCAGATGATTACAAATACCGAAATCTTGGACAATTAACAAGGTCATTCCAGAATCTTTATCATGTCATGTCATGTCATGTCATGTAAATATCTTTTTCCAGGAACATAACAAAATCATGTTCCAATACCATTTCCCGTAAATAGATAAGTTTTATTTCTGAGAATTGGAGATACAATTCCAAATTTATTCTTGGTTCAAATTAACCCTTACATGAACAGTTAGGATATAGAACAAAATGGATATTCATATCCTACAATTCCTCTCTTTAGATCTTATCGTGATCAACCTTATGGAATATCCATGGGAGGCCTGCGGCAGAGAAACGAAAGGAGGTATATTCAGACGTGCTAATCACGTCTGCGGGACTTTCCTTATTTCTTCACCTCGATTTCCCCCATTTGCTCTATGCCGTAGGTTTTCCCAATAAGTGGAGATCGAGCTGTCGATTTTCAGCTTTTGTAATCATCTGTTGTACACATATTTTAAGTGTACAAGTTAAATATTTCAAACAGCTGACATCGTAACCAATTTTAAACATACTGCACATCATGTTATCTGCAACTTGAGCCTTGGATCAAAACAGGCAAAGTGTATTATTCCCAACAACGGGAATATTATTATTATAATTCACAACGTAAACACATATAATCAAAAATGGGAATAAAATCTATTTCCCCTCTTTGGACCAGGGTCTTGGATTACCAGTCCACCCAGTGAACTTGGGCCAGGTCAAAAAACCCAGTGGCAAAAACTCATAATTGAGGAAAAAAGCACATCTGGGGAAACTCTAAGTGAGGGCCATGACTGTGTAGACATGTCATCCCCTCACGTTAACAGCATTAGTGACTTATAAAATCTGCACTATGTAAGTAAATAGCTCAGGTATCGGGATTGGGAAACACTTCTTGATTAGTTTGAAAAGGCCCACTTACATATTAAATCATAAGATCATTTCTAATCAGTTTGCAATTCTAGCAATAATCCCAATCATGACCTTGCGTCCTATGCCTCCTAATCAAATCCCTATTTTGATGGTCCAGTCATATCCACACTTAATACATGGGAATCCATCCTTGGTACACTCAACATACATCAATGACACACATAGTACATCCATGCCTGAGTAAGCTAACACTTCTTCTCTCTCCGGCTAACTCTACAAAAATAAAAATAACAAAATAGTTCAATAGTCCAGCATAGTCCAGAAAAATATTATAAGTCTTTCAAGGAGTATAAAGAATCGTAGACACCATAAACTTTGTTCCATAATCTTAGACACCATAACATAGCTAAGGGTAGCAATATGGCTGACAACAAGACAATGTCAGCTTCCACATAGTTCTTAATTCTTCTGTTTGCTGGATGTTCACCACAATACTCTGTGCAACACCCCAATTGTTGAAAGGGTAATACAGAAATAGCGGCATTAGACAGCACTGCATCTTCAGGACTTTCCAAGTTAGTTTATGTCCCCATAAGTAAGCATCTCAGTTTCTTCGGCCAGCATGGATTTTGACCAAACAGATTTAATTGCAAAAAAAGGTAGGTCAGCCAGAGAGATTGGTGTGTAGTCCCAAATATCAGGCGGCACAAATACTCCAGTACGGTCTCTATAATCATACAAACACAAGGATCAGTACGACATCAATAAATTAATTATCTAGGCTAAACTCAAATTAGAAACTAAAGTTAAACTCTTAACTAGTGTAACATGTACTTCTCTCAGTTTTGCTTATAATTCATTGAATTTGTCCTTTATAAAATTTTAATACATAATTTCCCTTTAGAATGCCTTGTATGGATGAGAGAAGCACTCATTCTATATAAATGCTTGTTGAGTACTAAAACAATAACATATACATATTGGTATAATTCCCAATAAAATGCTGTTCTTAAATTTAAACCTTGATTTGATAACCCCAATTAATTACTTTAAAAAAATTGGAATGCTGAAGTCTGTCAGTTTTGTGGACCCTGATAACATCTTTGGAAACCGAAACCTTTTATAGATCCTGATGTCCAAAAAGCCACCAGTTCTGTCGGTGTGTGATCATGGTTTAATACATGTTGGAACCTCCATACAGTTATCCCACTTAAACAATATATATTTTTTTCAGAACAACTAGGAATGAAATAGGAGAAACAAAATAAATTACTATTGTTCTAAAGTTCTTTGTTTAATACAGGTTTCGGAAGAGTTGTCTTGCTGTGTTGCAAGTGGCCTCTGATAAGGAAAGGACAGCAAACTGTAGACATATGTTATATTAAGTTGCTCTCACTTGTCAGGTCTTGGAAACCGACTTATTTTATTGCAGATGCCTCTATTATACCACGTTACAAATTGACTAAGCATACTTATTATCCTATTTTATTTTAGTTATTTCACATTGCGCGGCCTATGCAAACAATGTCTAGGTCCCAACTTCAGCTTGTACATCCTCTAAGAGCCAGCATTAATACTGTTTTATCTATCAAAACTATATATAAAGTATTAAAAACATGAACCATCTGTGTATTAGGCTGAGGTTGTTGGGTGTGGGTATAGCTTGAAAGTTGGGAGTCCTTGAATGCCAGCTGGGCCAGGTTGACCAGGAGAACCGGGTTCACCACAAGCACCTTGGGGTGAATCCCTGCTATCCACAATTAAAACAGTGCTGAAGTTACCACCTCTACAAAAGTTAGATCCTTTGATCAAATTCTCTACCTCTGCCTCTAAAACTTTTCTGATTCAATCTCCTATCACCTCCAAAATTTCTTTGTCTCGCCTGCTTAAGATCACAATCCTTTTGTGACCGATACAACATACTTTTCCCTCTTTCTTTATATCAAAACAACCTGCCGTATCTTTCTCATGAATCTTCCCAAGAAATTCAGTTGGGGTCAAAGAGGGCCAGTCACAGACCAACAGTTTGACCAAAAGTGAACAAGGAGGAAGCATTTTCCATATGAAGGTCGAGATGACCTAACTCACACCCCCTCTTTGTGTACACCTCTTTGTGTACCACACAGATATAATATTAATAAGCTTTATTGTGCATGTATAGCACAGTCGTCTAGGGGTGTATACATAAACAATGAAAGCAGAGTCTTAATATAGGGTTTGCAATACTGACAGTCTGGTTCATAGGTGTAATACAGACATGCGGTTAGGAACTTTTCCATTGTCAGAATACATTGAAAAAACACTAATATATTGCAAATATTAAAGTCATATTGCAGCTGTTTCCTATACCTGCAAGGATATGGTTGTAATACTTCAATTGAGTTCAAATTGAGTATCAAAAATTCTAACCACAAAAACTAAATTTTATATGCTTATCAAAAATGAGTTTAACCCCTTAGCCATTTCATAGGGTGACCTCTTCCCATAGTATGGTTCCTTTTATAATTATTATATTATTTATTCTCTTCTGGGTCTGCAAAATGCTTTCAATATACCAATACAAATATAATACAGTAGTTTAGAATTGCCTCAAAAGAAATTATCTGATCTCTATTAAAAATACCATTTCATCATTTTGCTATAATCAATGAGGCATACTAGATGATTCTTAATCTTGGAAAAAACCTATCCTATACATCCATAATTTTTTCTTGTTATATAACCAAATAACATAACAAATTTTTATTTTCTTAAATAATGCAATGCACTTTAAAAGTAGCGTTAACTCTAAATACTCCCCTAATAATACTGAAACGTGGATCCACGATTTTGAAAAGCAAATTATATATTTTTCTTTTTCTTTCCCAGGGCCCCTTTCTTGTTGGCTGATCAGCGTTTTTTTAATCTGTTGTAAAAAGACACTAAAGGCTTGCGTTAATGACATGCAAATATTCTTTAAATATTCTTCATACTCATTGTAATATCACACGTCTTATAACACAGAAAACATGTAGCAGATATCCAGCAGACATGCCAATACAAAAAGCATATTAATCCAAAATAAATTAATAAATGTCACACTCTGTGACAGAGATAATATAGGTTTTCATGTTTGTGCATTATGCATGTCTGCAAACTATGCAAGCAGTACTACTTTAAGATTAGATCGGAGCACCTGGCAACTGGACAGGAAAGTCAAATTTTGGCAGGAAGTCCATTATTGCAACAGAATTTTGGAAATCAGCTAAAATTTACAAAAACAGACTCCCTCTTTTTTTTTTCTTTCTTAAGACTACAACTCATACTGCTCTTGGACTAGTATTCAATAATAAATCAGTTATTTAATAGATTATTACGCTGCCATTTTCATCTGTATCAATACTAAGACAAACTTATTCAAATATAATTTAAAATAACACAGCAAAATACCCATTAACATACATGACAATTAAACTGCACACTTCAAAATGAGTAACCAAAACAAACATTTATGACAATCATCATTCACACAGAATAAACTTCTAACAGCTGTATTCAGAACATATTATTGTAAGGTATACCAATTCTAGTTTGTATCAGATTTATTTAAGATTTCTGGTACCAAAGGGTTTATTTTTTATTTTTAAAGAAGGGATCCCATACGGCCATATAACGCGTTTGACTTAAACATTTGTATAACACTTGCATTAACCAGTTGCAACATATGTACCCTGTCAATAGAATTTCTCTCTTATACGCTTATAGAACATTTGGACCAGATTACACAGACATGGTATCACCTGCATTTGTCAGAACTCTCAAAGACTCAAAATATTTATACTACTCCATGTTAAAGGCATGGCAAAATTTTGACCAGTCAATTTGAGTTTCCAAAAGTCATATCAACACAGGTTAAAACCTTTGTCCATGGTTTTCTGATCCTACATTCCATGACCAAAATTTCAAACCCACTTCTTCACAGTTTGGGTCACAAGCAATAAAATCTCAGCATTCCCATACAACAATTTACAGAATACATACAATTTAAAGCACATACAACATGTGAGGTACTGGAATACTACAAGTTAGCTTACAGCACAAAATGAAGCATGTGTTGGAACGCTGAAAATATACATTTTGCTCTCTTCTAAATTTACAACATAAATTCTCTGCAACAAACACACAGGGCAGAAAGAATGTGGTGTTTGACGTTTTGAATGAAGTGACTTTTTGTCCCAATATGAAAATAAAGGGCTCATCATATAAACAATCATACATCCCACTCTCATGAAAAAGTGTAGTGGGCTTATAGTACTTTTGTCCAAGTATAAAAAAATAAGGGGCTCATTATGCAAACAAACATACATGCAGAGAAATCATGTTAGTTCTAGAATTTGTAGCCCCCCTTAAATAACCTCTAATTTTTTTTTTCTTATTCATCATCACCTTTACATGTATTTTTTATATTCCCTCAATTAAGACTTTATGCTTAAATTCAGCGTTGCACACCATAAAATAGCACATAAATTAGCAAGCCGGAGTAATGCCAAACATCCATCATACCTTTTAACCCCTTTTTTTTTGGTTTTTTTAAACCATTTTAGTCTGCAAAATTTACATCTACGTTAAATAAATACCACAGTCCACCAAAGACTGGAAATCTGTTTTACAACCTACCAAAGGCAACCTCTACCAAAGAGGGATCTAGGGACGTCTCCCATATGTAAATGTACATCACAGGACATCACAGCCTACCAAAGGCTTGAAATTCTTTTTAACACCTGGCCAAAGGTGAACCTCTTACCAAAGAGGAAATGTGCACATAACCACTACTGCCTACCAAAGGCAATCCTCCAACCCGTGGAGTAATAGAAGTCTACCTAAGACTTAACAAAATACCATGTCTACCAAAGACATTATCCTGTGAAAATCCCCTTTAAAACCTAAATAGTGAAAAACCCCAGTAAAACAAGAAATGCAATGTGTGGGAAGATGGCAGAAGCAGGCAAAGGTCCCCAACCCCTTAAGGACACATGACAGAAATACTCCATCATGATTCCCTTAAATTCCAGAAGTTGTTTCCCCAAGGGGCTAAAGATCCTCTTACCCGCTACTCCGTTCCAAATTGCACCCAAACTTCTGACACCAGTTTGTTGGGGATAAAATCAGCCCGGGCCCTTTGTGGATGATGGATATTTGCCAACTCATACAGAGCTCTGGAAATTGGAAATGAATAGCAGAGACATGCTCGATAACCAATTCAAATTGTATTCATACATCAGTTATATTTATACCCCATTTTCATAGCAGGATGGGAGGGGGAAAAATGAGCATATGGGCGTGACAATTACATTGTTTTTCACAAGTTATAAACAGCTGTTTTTAGTTATAATTCAATGTTACATAATGTATGCATATTGGATAAAACCCAGATGATTACAAACACCAAAATCTTGGACAATTAACAAGGTCATTCCAGAATCCTTATCATGTCATGTCATGTCATGTAAATATCTTTTTCCAGGAACATAACAAAATCATGTTCCAATACCATTTCCCGTAAATAGATACGTTTTATTTCTGAGAATTGGAGATACAATTCCAAATTTATTCTTGGTTCAAATTAACCCTTACATGAACAGTTAGGATATAGAACAAAATGGATATTCATATCCTACAGAGGTGTAAAACGTTCATTCTAATAACATTGGTGTTACATTGTGATGTGGAAATCAATCAATAAATTGATTATCTTGCGTATCTGCCCCCGGCCAAATTAAAGAAATAGTGCGTGCACACTCCTGAAGTAATTCACAGCAGACACAAATTTCGGGTTAATGAAAAACTTGAGGAATGTTTATTCAGGGGGGATGACATGTCCCTTATCAACCAAAATTACATCATAAGCATTGTCAGAGATAACATGGAATAATACATCAATAATTGGTTAGGTGTTAAGTGGTTCATTTAGTGCTCTGCCTACCGCATGTGATGTCACTGGTATCTTGGAGGTCTCCCCCAGATTCCAGCGCCATCTTGTTAATGAGGGTGTTAATTAAAATGTTAAAAGAGAAACGCTCTAGCGGCCATTTTAGGTAAATCACATAGAAAGTTGAATAATGCTGATTGTAGTTATGTTGAGTAAATAGGCATTTTACTAATATAAATTGGGTTAATATTTTTGTCCACAACACATTGGCTTTTATGTATCTATTTATTTTAATGACTAACAGGGTTAGTCATAAAAAGTGAAAGATAAGTTTGCTTTTGAAGTAACTCTATCAGGAATTATATCTTGAGTAGCTGACATGTTTATTCAGTTAAGCTGCTTGAATTTTATCTTGCATTAAATTAAGCCAAACTATTATAATAATAATCCAAAAATAATTGATAATTATTAATGGTTTACAGCCAACATAAATGCATACAATCTTTAATGGCATTGCAGGTAGGAATATGTGAGAATTGTAAATCCTTTCTTATACTAACACTGAGGTCATAGACTTTTATTTTATTTAAAAAGGGTTATTTATTAAAAATCAGATATTTTTGATAAATAAATACATTTATGAGTGGTTATTTTTTAAGTATTTAGCTGCTTGAATTTTAGGTTGCATAACATCAAGCCAAAATTTAATTTAAAAAATCATCCAAAACCACTTTATAATTTTCAATGTCCTATGCACAGTAATGTTTATGATCAGAAAACCAAAAAAACTGCTTATTTTGACTCTGTGGATCTTACTCTATCATATTCACTTCTAAAACACATTTTGTTTTCTAAATTAAACAATTGAAGATTATGCTAGCTTTAGTGTACTAATAATCTTCATTTTAATAATCACAGATGGTGAGTATTTTGCATTGTCTTTCTTCATTAAGCAACATAACAGCAAAGAAAACATAGAACCAATCAGAAACAAGTAGTGTGTATAAGCGGTACAGAGAACCAAAATGCCTTCTTTTTCAACAGAAAAACATAGTAAACAAACAGAAAAACCATAACGTCAAAAATATGCATCCGCAGAACTTGGATCCCAGTCAAATTGGAATTGCAGACTTGTCTCCAGATGCGAGTAAAACTGAAAAGAGAATATGAAAGAATATGAAAGCAACATAACAGCAAAGAAAACATAGAACCAATCAGAAACAAGTAGTGTGTATAAGCGGTACAGAGAACCAAAACGCCTTCTTTTTCAACAGAAAAACATAGTAAACAAACAGAAAAACCATAACGTCAAAAATATGCATCCGCAGAACTTGGATCCCAGTCAAATCGGAATTGCAGACTTGTCCCCAGATGCGAGTAAAACTGAAAAGAGAATATGAAAGAGCTTAGTCATACGTAAACAAAGATATGAAACAATGCAACAATGCAGTTCAGTACGGATCTAAAAGAGAAATGCATCATAACTAAACTAAGCAATAACACATAGAAAATGGCAACACAAACAGCATAAATACCATAATTTAAAGGACCACTATAGTGCCAGGAAAACATACTTGTTTTCCTGGCACTATAGTGCCCTGAGGGTGCCCCTACCCTCAGGGTCCCCCTCCCGCCGGGCTGGATGGAGAGGAAGTGGTTATACTTACCTCCTTCTCCAGCGCCGGGCTGGGAGCTCTCCTCCTCCTCTTCAGCTGAATGCGCATGCGCGGCAAGAGCTGCGCGTGCATTCTGCCAGTCCATAGGAAAGCATTCTTAATGCTTTCCTATAGACACAAGCATCTTCTCACTGTGAAAATCACAGTGAGAAGCGCGGAAGTGCCTCTGGCGGCTGTCAATGAGACAGCCACTAGAGGCTGGATTAACCCATAGGTAAACATAGCAGTTTCTCTGAAACTTCTATGTTTACAGCAGAAAGGGTTAATCCTAGATGGACCTGGCACCAGACCACTTCATTAAGCTGAAGTGGTCTGGGTGCCTATAGTGGTCCTTTAACTCCTTAACCACTTAACACTGAGTGATGGTCAAGGTCCATCACTTAGGGGAAACCCTTAACAATGAGTGACGGACCTTGTCCGTCACGCGGTAAAATTAACCCCCGGATCGCCGCGATAGCGATCGCAGGGTTAATGATGATCCGGTCTGCCTCTGTGTTAGAGGCAGACTGGGAGCACCCGATCAGGCTGCCCAGCACATGTGCTCGCATGTCAGAGTGAGCACATGTGCTCCATATACTCACCTTCCGCCTCCCTGCACTTCATGGTTCTGTGTGACGTGCAGGGAGACGGATCAGTGATCCTGCACCCTGTTGAAAAAAAAGAAAGCTAATTTAAAATCCCACCCCCCTTTACCCATTTTAATACAAAAATTAACCCCTTCCCTGCCAATTGATCACTGACTACAGTGATCAATTGGCAATTGGCAGGGATTACATTTTACTGTCATCTGATTTTTTTTTAACCCAGCTAGCTAAATATATAATTTTAAAATATTTAAATTAATTAATTAAATAAATTTAATCGCTGAGGGTTAAAAAAAAGAATTAACCCTCAGGGGTTAAATTTATTTAATTAATTTAAATATTTTAAAATTATATTTTTAGCTAGCTGGGGTGGGTGGAAGTTAGTGGGGAATTGGGGGATTTGGTGTTAGGCTAACTAGGGGTTAACGTTAAAAAAAGTTTTAAAATAAACTTTAAAAAGTTAAAAATTAAGCTTAAAAAAAGTTTTAATAACGTTTAAGTAAAAAATAAAAAACACCCCCCTTTACCCAGTCCAAATAAAAATTAACCCCTTCCCTGCCAGTCGATCACTGCCTACAGTGATCAAAATACAGATCACAGTATTATACTGTGATCTAATTTTTTTTAACCCCTGATGATTAACTTTTATTTATTTTTTAACCCTCAGGGGTTAAATTTATTGAATTAATTAATTTAAATATTTTATAACTATATATTTTGCTAGCTGGGGTGGGTGGGAGTTATGGGAAAATGGGGAATTTACTGTTAGTGCTGCTTACTGCTAGTTAGGGGTTAACGGTAAAAAAAAAAAGCTTAGAAAAAATTTTAATCTGTAAAAAAGTTTTAAGAAAGTTTAGGAAAGTTTTAAAAAAAATAATAAGCAAAACAAAAGTTTAAAAACTAGTTTTTAAAAGTACAAAAAGTTTCAAAAAGTAAAAAAATACATTTAAAAACGCTCATTACCACTACACCTGGAACAAACTAAGGAAAAAATGATCCAACGCTAAGTTTCAAAATCTGCCTTTTGAATTAACCCAGGGTGTATTCTTTAATAAATAGTATGTGTTTGTGGGAAAGTTTCAATAACCAACCATCTAAACTACTCCAAATTGGAACATGGACACAGCGTAAAACTTCAAAGTTAGAAAAAACTGAAAGGCTGCGTCTCAAATGCACCCCTTCAACATCCACATATACCTGGCAAATGTACATACGAAGGTATTGCTGTACCCAGCCGACATAGCTGAGCAACATATGAAGTATTATACAGTCGTAGCACACATAAGGTTTGCAAAATATACTGCGCAAACTCACTTTGTGTGTCAAAAAGGCAGAAAAATCGCTTATTACCACTACACTTGGTACAAGCTAGCGGAAAAATGATCCCACGCTAAGGTTCAAAATATGCCTTTTGAAATACCCTGGGATGTCTTCTTTAAGAAATGGTATGGCTTTATGGGGCATTTGGATTATATAGCCTGGTAAAATACTCTAAAATGGGACATGGGCACAGCGTAAAAATGTAAAGTTTGTAAAAAAACTGGAATGGCTGTGTCCCAAATGTGCCCCTCCATTGTCCACATATACCTGGCAAAGGTACATACGGGGGTATTGCTGTACTCAGCTGACATAGCTAAGCAACATATGAAGTATTATACAGTCGTAGCACATATAAGGTTTGCAAAATATACTGTGCAAACTCACTTTGTGTGTCAAAAAGGCAGAAAAATTACCA